GTAACATAGGCAGCTTTCCTTCTCAGATGGAACTTGCTACTGCAGATTCCTGTTCCTACAGAAACCAGGAGTGAAAAGGGATGCCCCATGATGAGGAAGGTGAAGGTGGGAGTTTCTAGGAAGTGGAAGCAAGTTCTCAGAACCTAACAGGTTGGACCCAGCAAGCATTGTTTGGTGGTTAAAATATGTGCTGCCTCTTGGGCTGCTTTTGCCCTGAAAGTAGGCTTTGCTTCAACAGCACAACAGTTAGCCTGATGATTCCTGCTAATGAGGCCCAGTCAGAATAGAATTATCCCTGTATCTCCAACTTCATGGGAGAAAAAAAATGAAAGCAGGACACAAAATTGTGAAAGAAAATGAACAGAGCTCAGGATTAAGGGTCTTAGTAAAAACTCTTACGTTTTTCTCTCGTAAGGTTAAAAAAAGAGGGGCTAGTGGAGACCACAGAGAAAGGTTCTGAAGACAGAGCACATTTCCTACAGGTGTGGCTTCCTGCCGTTCCAGCATTCACCTGGCTTCTTCTGCACCTTCCATCTGTAATCAAATTAACTCCCTGTTTTCATGATTTAGAGTTTAGTGTTACTTAGTTCTTGGAGTGTTTAACAGTCTTAACAGTACTTAACAGTCTGCTGCTCTATGAGAGTAAACCTGGTTGGGCCTTAGTATTGCATTACTAAGACAAATGCTTCAATGCATTCAACACTGAGTTGGCTCTGGACATTGGATTTAGTTTCCACAAGCAGGGTCCATGTTGCAGAAGTGGACTCTGAGGCCCAGGGTCTTACAGCTTCAGAGCTGGGACCCAAACAAGATTTCTCTGATACTGATGTTGGGTAAGTTAGTTAGCAAGAGTTAGTTTAGACCAGCAATGATTCTTATACCCACATAATGTAATACTATGTCTTTAAGTGCCTGGTGGATATGCCCACATACCCAGGATGCACCTGTCACTGCTGGGGGCTGGGCGCATGCTTACACCCACTTGTTTGCATGTTCAGCTGGGATAAAAAGGAAAAATGGCCCCCTGTTTAGCGTTACTGCTCCAGTTTCTGTCTGCTAAGAAGCAAACCCAGCCAGCCAGAGCACTCCCATTTTTGCTCTTTCCACCACACAGCCATCTCAGAAGGACCTTGCCAATTGCAGGTACTGTTTTCAGACTTGACTTTCTCATTTGCAGGCAATTGTTCGGCCTACTCATGTTTGGTATTTCTCAGTGTGGGTAGCCCATCCTCATATGTGAAAGTGTGTTTATTCCCTCACTGCCAAATAAATAGTTCCAGGTAGCATGTGTTATATCCACTGCTTATTATTTCTTTGTGTGGGAGGCAAGTACCTAGACTAAAAATTAATGTATTCATTGCCCACATCAGTACCACAGCCATCTCTGTTCCCTACCCCATCACGCTGCTTCTCATACTGCTGTTATTTTGTTCATTAGCTTGTCTGTCTGCAGTGAAACCAGAAAGCCCTGCCACAGTGTCAGGAGTGTTTGAGATCCCAGCTGTGACAATCTCTGTGTTGGGTTCAATTCTCGTAGGCGTTCAAGAGTCATGCCAACAAATGCATATCGAAAATCCCTTTGATTCTCTTATCTTTTCCAACACGATGGAGCAAGACTGTTGAGCTACAGCAGAGCTTCGAGGTCCTCCCACACAATACTTCAATCTCACGCAGCAGAGTCGCTTGGAGGACTTGTTCAAACACAGACCCAGGGGACCTGGTGCAGCAGCTCTGGGCAGAGCCCTCAGGTGTGTGTGTTTGTGAATTTCTAGGTGATGCTGCCAAACTGAAGATCGGGCTTTGGGGATTGCTTGTTCTCCCCTCACTAAACTTTGAGGTGTGGAATCTGAGATAAAAGGGCTCCCCCAAACACCCCTGATAGCTAAGAAGCCGAAGGAGAACACAGTGCTCTGTGGCCCCTGGAGAGGACTCACAGTCAGATTAGCATTGCCCGAAGGAAACAAGCCCACGTGTTCTGGTGGAAGTGCAAATTAGTACAAAGCACTTTAAATTGTTGCCATGTGAGTCCAGTTACCAACCTAGATTTTTTAATTATTTGAAAGGCAAATTATAGATTGGGAGACTACCTGTTTATTGTCTCCCCCAAATGCCTGCCACCAAGGTGAGAGAACCAAGCTCTTGAGCCATCATCAGCTGTCTTGAACGATGTGCATTAGCAAGAAGCAGGTTGAATGTGGAGGAGGGACTCAAACCCAGACGCTCCAATGTGACTGACGTAGAGGCACCGCAAGTGGCGGCTTAACCTGCTGTGCCTCAACATTCAACCTCTGAGATAATTACAGGCAGGCAGCAGAAACTCAACTACCTGAGTAGTTCCTTCCCAGATTTGCATATGCAAGGAACAAATCTGGAGCCAGAGGGTGAAGTCAAATCCAGATACTCCAATGTGTGGTGCAGCTGTGTGTACCGATGTCTCAGCCACTCGGACAAATGCCTGTTTAGCTTTATAAATGTGCTGTCTCCTTAGGTTAATCTACATTCTTCTTTCTGACATTCCCCCTTCTACTCCTTAAATATTTGCTTTCATAGCCTTTGCACAGTGACTATCCAAAGATTTCATAATATTTCTCTGTCATGGCAACTGGGTCTTGTTGCTCATATCATTCCCTTTCCTGGATTTTGAAGATTTTACAGTAGTACATCCTCAAGGAATATTTCATAGAAAAGAAGCCACCTTTTCTTTGGTATTACTTACATGAATATGTCATTACTTTGTCTCAACTTGAGAACTTAACTGAGGGTACAATCTTAAAATGAACAAAATTTCCCCCACATAACTTCAAAAATATTGCATCATGAATGTTAACACACACAGGCCCTGGAAATCAATTTGGTGCAAACCAAATCATGTTCTCCCATATTTCCTACTTCCGTTTTCCACACTGTAGATTTTATTATCATATTTTAAAATGGTGGTAATCTTACATGGAATTTTTTTCATTTCAGTTTGATATTTTATAGTATCTTTAAGTTAAAATGCAAAGTTAAAAATGTCAAAAATGCAAAGTTAAAAATGCAATGCCTTTCTCAAAGAGAAGAAAGTTTCCTTCAAAAGTTATTATTTCTCAACTCTGTTTTCTGTTCTTTGATTCTGGTACTTCTCTTAGATTTGGGGTCTCCTAAGTTGATCTTTTGTGTCTCTGAATGTTAACATGACATTTTCTTCTCTTTTTGCTCTGTAGTCTGGTCAGTGACCATGAGTTTCTTGCTATAGTTCTATTGTAAGTTTTGGTACTTTTACTTTTAAATTTGGATAAACCTTTCTTTTTATTAGATTTCACAGTTTGTTAAAAAACTCCTCTTGTGTTTTGTGGATTTTTCTGTTTTCTTAGTGATTCAGGGCTCTGTGTATTTCTTCTCCAGCTGAGTTTCCTCAACTAGGATGGTCGCCAGTTCACATTCAGAATAGAGAAATTAGATTAGCTGAAATTAGTAGCATGGGTGGAATTTCTCTGATGAGTCTAGTCTCTTTTCTGGACAGTCCTCTTTCCTTGTTGGAGGGTTGTTCTGGAACCGTGTGCTGAGGACAAATTGAGCCTCCTATCCGATTTCTCCTTTGGTCACATCCAGAAAAACACTGGTAGATTGACCATCATCTGCCATTGTGAGAAGTGATGTGCTGTTTCAGAAACAGGTTCACACCCAAAGTCTGGTTATTCGAAGCATCTTGTTCAACATATTCAGAGAATTCTTTTGGTTCTGGCCTGTAGTTCACCACTTGTACCATCAGTTGCACTGCACGTGAGAGGGGAGGAAGGGAGGGTGGCAGGTGAAATGGTAGACCGCGTTTTCCCTGCAGACATATAGTTCATGTTTGATGTATGATCCTATTTTGTATTGTTGCTATTTGATTGTATTTGCTATCAAGGTTGGAACTCACACGAGGCTCATGTAGGGATCTGGACTTCAGCATCTCAGATTTCTTCCTCAGTCCCTTCAGGGCTCCTTGCAATACACATTTCCTGAGTCTTACAGAAATGTTTCAACATGTCAGGTTGGCCAGTGATTCTAAACAATTCCCAAATTGTTAGGAATTTTTCTCTGTTCTCTCTCTCTCTTGCACTTTAGTGTTAGTTTCTACTAAAGTAACATTCTATTCAGCAGTTTCACCTTTCAAGTTGTCAATAACTGGATACCACACATTAAAAATATTACATGGAAAATTCTAAAAAGAATCAACAGTTTTAAATTATTTATAGTTCTGAATAGCATGATGAAATATCACATGAATTCTTTTCATCCAACACAGGATGCAGGCCAGGCTTTGTCGAGTGTAGCATTCTATGTCTTCTACTAGGCCATTAAGCACTTAGATTGACTGTTGTTGTCCTTTGGGCTTGTGTTTAAGTAGCCCTGACATGTAGCCCAATGCTTTATCACAACACCACAGTCATTCATCCCAGCGCGGCTCCTCGTGGAGCTCTGTAACACCTGACAACGTTGCAAGAAGATAATCTAGAATACAGTAAGACAATTTGAGACAGAGCACATTCATGTTCTGTTTATTACAGTATGTTGTAATTATTGTTGATCTTTATGATGAGGTATGGCTGAGATGGAAACCACAGCCACAGCCTGCACAGAAAAAGTGACATTCACAGAAACTATGAAGCAACAGCTGCCTTCAAGTGCCACACTTCATCCACAGAAGGATTAACCCTACGAAACAAAAGTTTCTTCTGAAGGGAGTTCGGTGTGGGTATACACACACACACACACACACATACACACACACACACACACACACACACACACACACACACACAAAATCATGGAATGAAATGATTCTGTGTAGTAGGGAGCAGGTGGTAATTGCTCAATGAGCACTTGGTTGGCTGCTTCAAAACTGTGTGAGTGCAGCACAGTGGTAATATGACACCAGATGCAGAGTCACATGGGAAATGTTGCCCTGCTGGATGTCAGTTATCCGAAGCCTGCCAACGCCATGTGCTTTGTCGGCCCTCTCTTTGCAGACTGTTCCCAGCTCCACATTCCTGCTTCCTGGAATGATTGCTGAAACAAATCACTTGCACCCACATCCTTGTCTCCATCCGGATCATCCAGGTAACCATGTTGGGTGAAAACACTTCTATTTGAGGGGGATGCAGACTTCAAGAGAAGGCGAGGGCATGGGCAGGAGCTGTTAACCGTGAAGTTACTGTGGTGACATCCAAATGCTGAAAAGGAAGGACAGACGTGCACAGATGCTGCATAGTTACATGATGGGTAACTGCGGACTGGGGATGGGTGAGACTTTATGGCAAAAAGGAAGTCATCCTGAAAAGGAGGCAGATGTCTGGGCTTTCGTTTGAAAGGCAGATTCATGACCCCTAGTTCTCCAACCACTCTTTGCACAATAGTTGGCAAATGTATAGAGTTGTGAAAATGGCAACTTATGGAGGAAGAATTATGTTTTACTAAGAAATGCCATTTGCATTGTATTTGTTTTTTTTTAAGAATACTTTAAAATTACAAAATAATTGAATGGCATTTTCAAACATGTGTGAAAGACCAAAAGAGTAAAAGTGGTGCTTCTTTCTTCCTCTCTCTGTCAGTGATTAGTTTAGGCTCATTGGTAAATATGAGACGCAGACAGCAGGTCAGCTGGACTGTCAAATACGTTAGCCATCAGCTGCAAGTGCCTTTGGAGGTCTGGAAATGTGGTTGGTAAAATTAAGAATTATTTTATTATAAGGCTTGTGAATAAGAAGGCTGAGTTAATGTAAGAAATAAGCACAAATTTGTTTTCATAGGACTGTATTTTTTCCTCTCTGTCCATTGTATATGTGACTGATATCACAGTGCACATCTTTCTATATTGTGTCTTCATTAACACATTGGGAGGTTTAGTTATTTTTCACACAATTTCTTAATTTTTATTCTAGCATTAGAATCTGTCCATCATCACTGCAGTCTTGCAGCATTCACTTTGTGAGTGTATATTTACCTTTGCTGTTGTAAGTTCTACATCCACATGTATTCAGGTTGCTTTAGAGCATCCCTTCTTTTCTATTACCCAAACATCAGATCTAATGGCAATGAACTCCCTCAGCTTCTGTTTACCTAACGTCTTTATTTTCTTCTTTGTTGTTTGGGAACACTTTTGCTGATTCAGCATTCTTGGAGGGCAGTTTTATGTTGGAGCACTTTGAATATATGAAGTAAGACATCTGCTGAGAATTTTTCTGAATAATCTCAAATAGGCTTTCCTGTAGATAGTATGCCACTTTTAATTGCTTTGAAATTTTTCTCTTGGTCTAGTGACAGTCCTGTTATGTTGTAGCCTGATTGTAAGCCTGTTTTAATTTATTATGTTTATCGTATTTGTATATGTTGGGCTGATCTCTGTCCTGATGTTTAAAGTTTTCAGCTACTGTTTCTTTACATAAGTATCTTGTACTTTTTTTTCTTCTCAGAGTTCTTATTCACTTGATATTGTTCTGTGAGTCCTTCAGGATTTCTTCACTATTTTCCATTCTTTGTTTGTGTTTTGTTTTTATTTGTGTGTTTTTTTTTAATCCTCCCATGGGATAATTTCAAATTATCTGTCTTCAGTGTCACTGATCCTTCCGTTTGATCACAGATGATTTTGAAATCCTGAAGTGATTCTCTAGTTTAGTTATGGTGTTCTTTCACTCCAGCATTTCTGTCTGGTTCTGTTTATAGCTTCTCCATGCTCACATTCTCATTTTGTCGCGTGTCCCTTTCTTGGTTTTGTTTCATGGTCGGTGTTCTCTAGTAACTCACTGAGGTCCAGTAAGACAGTTATTTTGCACTCCTCATTAGGCCATTTACAGGTGTCCATCTCCTTAGGCTCCATTACAGGAGATCCCCAGGATTATTCATGTCCTGCGGCTTTGTGCTGCTATCTGCACACTTGAAGAAGCAGTTGCTTTTCCCAGTGTTTATGGACTGGTTCCTACAAGGAAGCACCTTCACCATAAGCCTAATGAAAGGCTCTGGGAGCCTCTTGTATCTTTGCTGTAAATGCACCTTCACTGGGCTGGGTCCTGTAAATTCTCAGATATAGTTACTCCTTCCTCTTCCACCTTTTTTTTTTTGTCTCCTTTCATCATTCTTTACTACCTTCCTTTGTTCCTTTCCTTCCTTCATTCTCTCCCTCTATCCATTTTCCTCTCCTCTCCCTGCTTTCCTTCCTCCATTCTTCCTTCCTCTCTTACTTGCTTTATCCAGTTCCTTCCGTCCCTTCCTTCCATCCTTCTTCCTTCCTTATCTCCATCCATCCTCGCTTCCTCCCTTCTTTCCCTCTATCCATCCTCTTCTCATCCTTTCCTTCCTTGCTTCCTTTGATTCCAGACATAGAGACCTCTTGTACTTTCTGGTGCCTGGCTGTTGCACTATAGGAAGAATACTAAAGAATTCTGTGCTACTTTCCCTATCTTGCTGAATTCTGTGCCTTCCCACAATATTACTGAGATGTACAGCCCCCCAAAAGGTTCCATATCCTTTTCTTTGTTCCTTGCTGCCCAGAAGGGTCCAGGATATGGCAGTGCCATCAGTACTACAGGTGAAGTGAGACAAAAACAGTCCCCAGGTAGCACACTGAAAGGCCAGGTTTTGGAGGCCTGCTCCCTTCTACTCCCTTCCTTCTGGAGGAAGAGATTGGCACTCTGGAGCCTCTTCCAGTTTCTCAGAGCCACACTTGCTGCAGTCAGTCGCCTGCCCTCTCGTGTGTGCCTACCTATGCAGGCTTCTAAGCAATGCCAGCGTTGTCTGTGTTCCACATGTGGTACCACAACAGAGGCTGAGGATCTTGGGTCAGGTTCCATTCTGTCCTTATACATGGAAAGAAAAGCTGGTCTCCTGATTGACTTTTAACTACTGGCTTGCTAGAGAGGCCAACACAGATAGAGTGAAATTGATATTCTCACCTGTTTCATCAGTATTTTTACAAAGGACTCAAGGGCTGGGACTCTGTGTTGCAACATCTTGCAGAAATGACTTCCTTTGGTAGGACTGTGTTAAAGTATTAAAACAATATAAGATGTCTCAGTAATAATTCTACATATTATTTTATTGAAAAAATGGGTTTCAATAAGATGTTGTTTTGAAAATTCTGTTTTATTTTCACTTTTTAAAAATTGTTATTAGGAAACAAAGTGAAACATGTGGCTAACATTAGATTCTGTTGATGGTAGTGATATGAAGAGTCTTAATAGCAAAAGGCACCAGGCAGAGGCCTTTGCTGGGGGATAGGAATCTTGTTTGGGACAACCCACCCCCCCATGGGACACTCTCCTTGGGCACCTGTCTTCAGCTTTGTACCTCTCCAGTATCTACTCCTATACTGAGAATTTTGATACTTTGGGGAATGAAAAAAAAAAAAAAAAAAGACAAATTCTATAACAAAAGTAGAAATTCTCTAGGTTTTAGTTTTATTTTATTTGGATTTTTGAACGAGGCTTTTGCCCTTTCATATATTTGTCAGTTTGTTTTGTTGAGGCCTCAGTACCGGATTTTCTTTCAAAATGGCAGGAAGAGGGTGAGGGTGAGGCTTGAAGAGTGAATAAACAAAACAAAACAGAAAGCCGTTGGCCCTGCTGAGAACTGAGTGAGGGTGTGGCCGGGGACTGAACTGGCACCCCATCCTGGAGCTCTTGAGACGAGGGATCAGGTGGAGGGCAGCCTGGGGTGGAGCCTCCGGAATGCATGCAGGGGCCAGCGCTGAGCCAGGGAGTAAATGTTGTTTTTGAGACAGGGTCCAAGAGAGGAGATGCCAAGTGCTGCCGGTGCCAGGAAGAACCTCAACAGGGAGAGCATCAGCGGTGAACTGCTAGGGGAGAGACAGGGGTGAGAGGCAAGCCAGACCCAGGGTGGGGAAGCCAGGGCAGGGGTGTGGGCAGAGGTGTCCTCCCAGACCCACGTCATTCCTGCCGGCCGAGATGGCCTCACTGCGCGTCCCTCATCTGGGACACCCGAGCTGCTTAGTGGCTGACTGATGTGTTTATTTCTCTGGCCCCACTGTTCACAGCAAAAATCATTTAGCTTTGTTACAATATCTTAGTATTGTTGAGTTTCATAGCTCTTCTACATGCATCACATAGAAATCCAATGTGTGCGTTTGCTCTCCTGCTCACCCTAGCCTGGAAGCACCTTCGTCATCTCTGTTGTCAGTGCTGTACGCAGTTCCAAGCTGTAAGCAAATGGATTTCAGTAGAATTGGAATTACGAATCAGTGTTATGCAGTGATATGTAAATCCCACTTTTTTTTTTTACTTGAAAGTTTCTTTTGGAACAATGCAGGTATTCCAGCATCAATTTGCACACACAACTTGCAACTCAGTTGATAACATGAGATCTTCCTTTTGGTGTCAGTCAAGGCAACAGGACTACCCATTTAAGATGACTTAGGAAGGCTGTTTTCAAAAGCTGTTCTTTGCAGCTGCATTGGTGGCTGACTTGATGGAGCTGAAACTCTCCCAGACAAGTGAGCTGTCCTTCCAGAAATCTCTGAAAGAAACATACCAAGCTTCTTGGCATGATGCAGCAAGGCAGGCTGCATTAGATTAGCTCTGCCCTTAACAACAAGTTTCACTGGGCCGTTGAGAGATGTTATGGAAATGTATCAAGGGAGAGAATACTCTGGCTTGAGCTGGCCAACAGACCATAGGGTAATCACTGCAATGAAAATACTGAACCTGCCCCAAGACTCACCAGGCAGCTTATCATAAGGATTTAATAGACAGAATTACAGAGATTCTGGATAGCTCTTGAAATGGGATATGAAGCCTTGCTCTTCTCAGGCCCTGCTTCAAATTGGGATTGAGTCCATTTTGGCTAAAATTAGTTGCCATTTGAGACCCTTTGGAGACCTTGGCAAACCAACCTGACCCTCTGGTCCAGCTACCAGCAGAGCTGACCTCACACCCACGGATACCTCCAAAAAGGCAGAAAGCCCCGCAGATGCCCGCTGTCCGGCTGCGTGTTTCATGTTACCCGAGGGACAGGTGTGCTGGGAGTGCTACTGCTGAGTGCCCCAGTCATAAATGCCAGCTCTTGGATTTGAAGAACCTTCCACTCTGCAAAGCTGAGATGGCAAAAAT